AGTCTTCATCTTCTTCATCGTGTTTATTTTTTTCAATCTCATCATCACATGTCACCAAATTCAAATTTATCGTCTATAATACTAACATATTTTTTAACCATTGACTACTCGCAACCAAATTAACTATTTGAATAATTAAAGTATGCACTATTTTCTATTGTCGTGACAATGACATGTATTTACATTGAATATTCAGTTAAAAAAAGCGAAAAACTAATTAAGCATTGCAACAATCAACTACCTAGATACCTAAATATCGGACTAAATATGTTACAGTATTATCTTACCTTAATGAATTCTAGATACAGCCACAGTACTACATAAACTATAACACAAGTATGTTTAGTTTATAAATTTACTATGTGTCCTATATTGTTCTCATTTACTAATTTATTACTGATAATTTAATATAGGTATGTGAAATAAAGATATTTAAATTATATAAATACTTATGTGACTTATGTGATGTTACAACTAGACAATTATGTTACATATCCATGACAATTATCCATTAAATTGGAAGTACCTGCCTATTTATAAAATAATTTTAATTAATACAGGCAAATGCAATTAACACAAAAGCAACATAATATAGAAAACATACAACAATAATATGTTTATATCATTAAATAGGTACCTAGTTATTCACACTGGGTGCTATTATAGCACTATTTTTAAAGAATTATATTAATGACATGAGTATAGTAGATATAGCTAAATAGGGTTAACAATAACAATAATAGTAATATTGATAATATTTATTACCTAATGTTATTACAGTAATATTAGTGTTTAATTTCAAACATTTACTAAATAATTTTAACATTAAGTATTCTTAAAAAAAATTTAAACCAAAATTTGAATTAGAAATTTTTCATTAGTTAAAATAACTATTAAACTTAATAATATTAAATAATACAAAAAAAAAACTATTTAAACACCAAACATTTTTTATCACAACTTTTTATTTAATATTCTATAAAAAAAACATGAAGTTTTAACACTCCTATGATATTAGATGTCACAAATGATTTACCTTAATTTCAGCAGTTTTCTTAGACTTACTAACAATTGTCTCAGTTTTATTCACCAGAACAAAGATGAAAATATTGAAATAATAAAATCTTAATAATTTGAATATGCATGTTCTAACTTACCAATGAACTTGAAGAAAAATTGAATAATTTTAATTGTTTTGGGTTTTTTGCAGCTTGCGACAACAGTGCATCTTGTGTTATACTTACTTTTTCTGCACCACCTTTTCTAATAATTTTTGCCATTACAAATTAAAAATATATCAACCTCTAAGTAATGAAAAAATAATAAATTATTATCACTACAGAATTGATAATATATTATTATGTTATGTTATTCTGTGTTATCACTACAGAGTAATAATGTTCATAGGTTGATAATAAAGAGACAGAATGATGACGACGGCTTCATTATCATAGCTAATGTGGCATAGTATTATTATTTGTTTAAAATAGTTTTAATATTAGCTAGATATTTTAGCAAGCGGCCCATGTATCATAATAATCTTTCGGCCCACCACACTGAGCGTGATAGCTCGCCGGCCCAATCAGGCCCTGTATAGGTAGGAGGAATGATTTTATTCCAACATTTTTCATTATACCAATTTATTTTTTTATGATAGGCACGTAAAAAATTTTTGGTGAACATTAAAATGTCATGGTTTTCTTTTACTTGCATGCAACTGTTTGTATTTGAAGATAGTAGTCATGGTTCTTCTTTATTTTTATTAATTATATTATAATTGGTTTATAAACAATTTCAATTATTTGTGTATAAAATCAGCGTTGAATTTTTTACTTTTCTGTCATTAGTTTCATAGCAAGTTCATATTCTACAGCTTTTTATTAATAATTGCTATGTCCATATTAAAATCCATACACCATCTTATTACAAGATCTTATCTTAGTTCAATACTTCAATAATGTTGTCAACAGGAAATTGGAACAATAAAAAGCCCTATTCTTTTATACACTTATACTAACTGATCCACGTGCACTTTGTTGACCATTCAAAATATTAAATCTATTTGATTCAAAATTTGTGTTTAATTCGTCGTTTATTATCCGTTTAGTCATGCTCAAAACTTCCTGTGACATATTTCAGTGGATTTACCCTATCTCCATTAAGAGGATGTGATACCTGCATGTGTTATCTCCGTCTATTAATGCGTAACATAACACATTTTACGCTTAGCAGAACACATATAGCTCTGTTAATTTAAAATTTAGAATGAATTGACTTTTTATGATACTTGATAACAAGAATATTATCTATTTGTATGTTGGTTTTTTACAATAGTTCAACTTTTTAGCAAGTCTCGCATAAATAAAATATCATAAATTAGAGTGCTCATAACTTACTTTAAAACTAAATTATTGTAAAAAAAACAACCATTTACAAACACAAATAATGTTCATACCATCAAGTTTCATTAGTTTATTCTTTCTAATTTTTAAACTAGAGAAGCTACATTTTATCTTCCGAGAGTAAATTTAGTATGTTACACACTTTTAAGAGAGAGAACAAATGCCAGAGTTACGTCCTCTTAAGTTAGATATACATTTTGTATTAGCAAAATATAGCAACCATAAATTCAACACACATCTAGGTGGGTATGATTTTTTTTACAAATAKAATTTTAATTCCAAAATAAGAAATTCCATTTTTAAAATTCATTCTGATAAATCTATTTAAAACCTGTTCTGTAATAAAATTATTACATTCTAAAATTAAATTAAAAATTGTTTAATACATTAACAA